TCAACAGAAAATAAAGATAATAAATAAGAAGAATAAATATATAGATATATCTTGTTTTTTAAGTTTATATTAATCATCCTTTTTGTTTTTAATTCATGGGCAGAAGAAGAACGTAGTGATACTAATTTTAGTAATATTGGTGAAGATAATTCCGTTAATATTTATATTAAAGATTTTTTAACAAAAATTCTTTTTCTTTGTTGCAAAATTTAAGGATTATAAAGATTGATCTCGACGTACAACATCAAATAATTCTTCATTCTTATCCTCATCAAATCTAAATGAATCTGGAACTATATATTGTGGTCAATGTCCATAAGTTCTGATCTTTTTCATATTCTTTCAATACATAATATCCGTTTATGCGAAGAAAAATAAAGTTATCTTTATAATCATTTACAAATTTTTCATCATATGATAGCTCGTAGTACATATAAAGTTTGTAAAGTTGTTTTAAAACAAAATGATTCAATGATAACCGTACTTTTTCATCCAAAAAATATATTAAACAAAACAAAATGACTTGAAAATATGCAAGCACACAAAGATAATTCTTTAAGTTGTTACCATCTTTCATTTATTGAATCAATGACTATCAAAATATTTGGCCTTTTATTAATTATCTTGTCATTTATATTCTGACGGAAAAAATTTATTCAAGAGAATTTTTACAAGCATTGAGCTAATTCTTAATATCGATATATTTTTCAATTTAGACTTCAAGAAATCTCTACATTTCGATGAAACAAACTACAGTTTGTACTTCTTACGTTTTTATATAATTCATTTTTTCAGTTTAACTAAATAAAATCAATGAGAAATTTTTATTGAACAAGGTTCTTGAGAATTTATCAATGGACTTCTAATGTCTAATTAATATATTTTATTTTCTTCGAAATATAATATTGTGTGTTATAAGAAGCACATTGCATGAGAAATATTTTGTTTGACAACAGAATACTAAGCTAACAGAAAGAAAAATGTTATCATCTATTTGGTGATTAAACAGACTGAACTAATTGATAGTGAATGAAGAAACATTATTGACCTTTTTCCATAGCAACGTGAATTCTATTGGTGGTTAATTCACTTTGAATTAAGTCAGTCTCTTTGAGGCATTAGTTCATTTTGAATTAGTCTAGTCTGTTTATTATCTTCATTATAGAACAAATATGACGACATCGATATTTATTCGTTATTTTTTTTATAGACGGCCATGAGAATGCGAAATATATATAGATTATTGACACGAATATATTGTACGAATCAGACATGAATAATTTGAATAAAAATGAGCTCAATATACTCGATATACCTGATGAAATCTTCTTGATCATTTTTAAAAAACTCAATATGGTTGAAGTTCTTTACTCACTTGTGGATGTTAATCGACGATTTGATCGTTTAGCACTTGATTCTCTTTATATTAATAATCTTAATATGACTGATACTATGACCATCAATTCATTCATTGAGCAACCATGTTCAATAGATGCTGAAGTTATTTCAAAAATTTCTGAAAAAATCCTACCTCGAATTCATTCACAAGTACATAAACTCACTATTGAAGAATTTTCAATTAAACCAATTCTTCTTGCTGTTAATTATCCTCAACTTTATTCATTATCACTTATTAATTTTCAAGAAGAAATGCTTTATCAACATTTAACAGGTATTCTATTTAATTCTATCTGTTAGAATTAATAAAAACAATCGATCTAATCAGATAAAAATTAATAATTATCTTTCATTTTTTTTTGTTAATTAAAGATGATGTAATTCTTCGTGATCTTCTTACCAAACAAATAACACATCTTAATATTGATATTAAAAAGACAATAGGACAAAGAACAAAAATAGTTTCAAAGATTTTTGCATTAATCTTATCTTTATGTAAAAAGTTAACTGTTTTTAATTTTTGTCATATGTTTCCAACACGAAAGTGTATACTTCCTATTTGTTATCTACCATCAACAAATTGTATGTCTTTAACTTTAGTCAAATTGACAATCACTGTTTCCTCTTTATTGGATTGTCTTTATTTGTTTGATGGTTGTCTCGATTCTTTATCAACATTAATTATTAATGTATCATATATTTTTGGTCCAAAAATACCTAAGTATTCAAAAGTAAGTATTATTTCAATGATCATGTTTTGCAAAATAAATACTAAACTAAATAAATAATATTTATTTTATTTATCTTGTAGAAAAAATTTCTAAAATTAAGATGTTTTTCATTGTCTTCACCTAAGTTGACAGTTGATTATGATGATCTAATTGTTCCATTGCTTTGTCAAATGGTAAATCTTGAAGAATTGAAATTATATCTATTAGTACAAAGATTTGACTCAACTTATATTGATGGCATTCAATTATATGATCAATTTCTTGTTTATATGACACAATTAAAGAAATTTACATTTAATATCAAGACAAATGTCTCAAACAATTTTCTTAGAGTTAAACTTCCATCCAATGAAGATATTCAACATAGTTTCATTGGAAGAGGTTATCAACAAGTTACTTCATATATTCATTATGATTCAATAGAGAATAAAGGCAAATGCTTGATCTATTCAGTTCCATATGAATTCGATTATTTTTTTAACTTGGATAATTCTTTTCAAGGTCGCATATTTTATAAAGTGCGATATTTGACGATGGATGATACAATTCCTTTTGAACATAAATTATTTAATATTATCTCTGAAGATTTTCCTTTTCTAGAGTTCTTACGTATATCTAATAATTATTCACCAAAAGTCAAAGAACATTCATTAACATTAATTACATATCCTTATCTCACACTGCTTGATCTACAAAATGCACATGATGATTATGCTGAACTATTTCTCTTGAGAAAAAATGCTTATCTACCTCGTTTGTTAAATCTCTCCATGAAATACAAATCACTCACAAGGATAACAAACAATTTTACCAATAATGCAATGGATTTCAATTTCAGTAAATTGAAAAGTCTAGGTATATATCAAACATTTGTTCGTCCAAAAAATTTTCATCAATATTTTCCTTTGTTATAAATTGTTTCAATAAAATAGAATACGTTGAGAGAATGAAATATTTTTCATTTATACAACATATTCCAACAAAAAACACGAAACTCGAATGCAAAATCCGATATGAAGCAAGTCACATATCTATTAACGAAAAATCGTATGAAATGAATAGTCATATTTATGATTGAGTTATTGAGTACGAAACGTTTTATTTCAGGAAGTGTATCTAATATATTTCATTTAGTTCTTTTTCTTGTTAGTATGGTGAAAAATATAAATGAAAGATAATTATTTATAAGAGAACCTTATCTTAGAAATAGAGTTGTTCAACGTATTGGAGCAAGTACTGATTGATGATCAGTTCCATAAAAATAATCATCAGATAATATTGATGAAAATAATCGAATTGATCATTTATTATTATTGAGAATAAGATAATAAATAAAAAACTAAAAAATTTTCATCAATGAAAATCGATAAGCAACACCAAATACAAGAATTAAATAAATAGATCTATCAAAATAATATGGATTTTATTAAATCTAACAAATTTGAATAATAATACTTAAATAATGTGCCAGATATATTAAACTAATATCCAATTACACATTTAAATCAAATATATGGTAAAAAATATGAATAATTACATGTTAATATAAAAATAAATAACCAAATAATTGCAGATACGAATGGATGAATATTATTTTAAGTATCTGATGATTTTGAAAGAAGCCATATAGGATTAACACAGTATGGTTGTTGTTGTTGTTCTTTACGACAAATTAAAGATGATTGTGTTAAAAATAATAAAAAATAGAAAGAAAAAATTTTTGTAAAATATCAATGTTAAATTTTAATATCATTGTTTGAAGAAGAAAATAAACGACACACCGCTTCATTTATAATAAACGTATTATAAAATGATATAAGAGAAAACACAAATAATCAGGAGCCATGTCCAACTTCATTCCAAGAAAAAATTCTCAATTCTATTGGGGACGAGAAAATGGCCTTATCTGCCCTTGTTCTTTGAATATACACGAGATAATTTCTTCTTATATACTGTTTCAAGAAAAAAGAAAACACACACATATAGTCACATCAATACATATTATATAAACATAGCAGAAAAATAAAAAGATAAATTAACAATGTCAATATTAGACTTGGACTTTATTTAAAAAATATAATAAATAAAAAAAAAAAATGATATACATACAAGAAATAAATCATTTTAAGTTATTGTTGGTGGTTAAGTTTCACGACCATCTCTTTGAGTTATTATATTTTGATCAACAAATATATGAACAAGTTGAACTTCAATAACAGGTTATTCAAAATGATGAAAAAAAAAAAAAAAGATTCAATCAACAATAAAACAACAACGTGTTGTTAATGTTAAACCTGAATATTGACCATTATAGAAGAGCATGATATGCATAAAATCCAAAATGATACATATATTAAAAAATCTTTAGAAAATAATCAAAAATTATTTTTAGTAAATAAATATAAAAACTTACCGAACCCAATGACGTTTGCTTATTGGTGTATGACAACGTTTACTATCATATTGATCAGATATCCAGACAATAAAAATTATATAAAAAGCTAAAAAAAAAAATGATTAATAATATTAATTAATTATTACAAACTAACCTTTGCACTAGAAGTAAAGAAGGATGGGTGTAAATTTAATAACTCGATAATGACAACAGCTAGGGACCTACCATTTTCGACAATCGAATGAGAGATCTCAGATCTATAGATTAAGATGCAATCTGAATGATTATTTTCACAGATCCTAACGTTGAGAAAATGAAATCGTCAATTTATTTGCTTAGATAATAGAAAATTGCCTTGATTTTTAACCGAATTTTCTTATTTTTTTTCTCAAAGTAGCTTGTCGTTTCAATGAAAATTTGATAAAAACTAAATAAATTTAGTTAAAAATCAATGCAATTTCTTATTATTTAAGCAAACAACTTCGCGATTTCACATAGTCAATGTTAGGACGTGTGAAAATAATCATTTGCATTCTATATTGAACTATAGATTTGAGATTAGGGAACTACAAAGTGGTCCCGGTCCCGAGACTAAAATTTCACTTTTAACGGAACCGGGACCGGGACTAAAACTTTTTCAGACTGGTCCTGGTCAACTGCTTTTACCTAATATTATAATGCTGTTTCGATTAGAAATCCGTGAAACGACGCTTTTTTGTTTCCAAATCTGACAAAAGCCTGTTACAGATCACGATACTGTTAACAATAGACAATTTTTTTTTTGCAAATTTAAGAAAAGTCTTGAATTTAGATGTATGTAAAAATAGAAAATTGTAGCTATAATAAAGACCGGGACCGGAATCGGGACTAAAAAAAAATTTGGCCGGGACCGGGACTAAAAAAAGTCATTTTGCAGATCCCTATCTGAGATGTCTCTTTCGATTGTTAAAAATTGCAGATCACTAACTGTTGCCGTTATTAAGTTATTAAGTTTACACCTCTCCTTCGTCAATTTCAACGCACACATTAATTACTGATTCATGCATAATTGAAAAATTCTGACATAATTGCTTCCATACCTTAATAGAAAATAAAACAAATTGATTTTTTTTTAAATAAAACTTCTTTTCTTATCAATTAATGCTAATATAACTGTTAATAATGGTGCAGCAGGAAAGAGAATTGATTTATTTTTTTCAATCATACGTTACAACAAATCAACTATAAAAACAAAAAAGATACTTGATTTTATAGAAAAAAAAAAATTAATTAAAATAAATGAACCAATAAAAATAAATATTTGAAAATGTGAATAACGAAGAAGCATTGAAATACTAATTGTCTATATATAAAAATAAAGATGTAAGAATGTTTTTTTAATGAATAATTTAAGATAGAAATAGAATGATAATAAATAAAGCAGCTAAATATGTCCACCATCGATGATTTGATGATGAATTGACAAAACGAAAATGAACATTTGTCATTACATTTCGAACATAACCTAAAAATAATTTTTATTTTTCAATATTTTATTAAAAAAAAAAAACAATAATAATTTCTACCTTTATCACCTTCTTTTTCTGCTAATTGCTTTATACTCGACATAAGAATATCTTGATATCCAAGATATTGATCAAGCATAAATCAATTTGCAGCACCACCAAAAACATGTATTTTTTGTTAAATCTTATAACAAAATAAATTTTTAAGATAAAAATAATTCGAATTGTTTTGGTTTTTCTCTTTATTACCTAATGTAAGTAGTAAAACTTCAATATTAAGTCTTTGTCTTGTTTGAGATGATAAACGTAAAAATCCATATACAAGTTAATATTCAAGAATATGATGTTCTTCAATTAATAATTGTTTAATAAAATCAAATCAAATGAAAATTAAATAAATAAATAAATATATGAAATAAAGAATCATTATATTTTTCATGAATAATTTCAGCAGTTTTTATTTTGTCAATTTCAATTGAAGAATTAATAGTTAAATTTGAATAAGATTTTTTTAATAAACCCTCATCCTTAAGATAGTTTAAACAAAAAAAATGAAAATATTTTATATAAACAAAAAAAGAATTTTTTTTTTACTGATTGATTTTGTTTTATTAAAAACTAATTCAACACGAACTACACCTTGTCTTGGCCAATTATCATGTAAATGAGAAAGACATGTCACTGGTTTTTTATTGAATATTATATGAAGATAAATACGTAAACTCATACATATAATTGCCTAAAATATTATTAAATTATTTGTTTGTTTGTTTGTTTTTTTTTGTTAAATAAATAATACTAGAACAAGTATTGCAGTTTATTCTAATCGACGAATATTTTTCGGAATAGATCGAGCATAAAGAATAGCAATACTATGGAATAATGATTGAAAAATTTAGGTAGTCAACTCTATTTTATCTTCTTATTTAATTTTCTTATAGTGAAAAGGCTTTTTAAATCTGTTAATTAATATTCTCAATAAATATATTAGATTTATAATTGAATCGAACAAGAAAATAGTTCTCTATTTATATCAAATTATCATATAGAATATCAGATAACGGTCAGATTTTTTTTTGGCTACGTTAAAATAAAATGAGTTAATCGTTCAATACGAAAAACAATTCGAGAATTTTTCTTTTGTAATCAATAATCTGATGAAATTTGTTTAGTTATTGATTTTATTTTTGAAATATTTTCTTCTATAATACTTGACCTTAACAATTTCGAACTATTTATCGATTTTATTGTGGAATTGGTGGATATATTTGGAATAAAATAGAGAGTGCACCTTTAATAATCAACGTTTTCTGATATGTCGAAGGCATTTGAATGAGATTGAAATATAAGAATATGAAGATAGATGTGAACAATTTCTGATTTAAGAGTTGACATTCTAGTCAATATTTGAATGATTCTCGAATAATTTTACAATAAGAATCTGTTTATTTGAAAAATGATTGATTAGAATAATATTTGTAAGAATGTAAATATATTCGAAAATCCCGTTCGAAATAAGCTCTATCGAGAAGCTTTTTCTCATGTTCTCATCTTTTTTTAAGTAGCGATCAATGATGGTCAATAGACTGAAGAAGAATAATTATTTCTTTTCTCAATTAATATCATTTGTTTTGTTCAGAAAAAAACGTTTTCGATCTATTTCTAGATAATCTCACCAGATTAAAAAATAGTGTCGAAACTAGCACCAATTATTCAACTTATTTCAACAATTCAACTATCTTAATTTCGTTTTCGAATTATAGAGAAAAATAGATTAAATTATTATCTTTTTTCTTTAGGAGATCATTCACAATAATAGATATTGAACTTTTCAACAATAGAAACAAGTTCTTCTATTTTTTCATCGTGTCTCGTTATTTATCGATAGATCAAATCGATTTCATTTAGAATTTAAAGAATATATCTATGAGATGATTATCGTTTGTCTATAAATAAGCATAAAAATGTTGAAATAATATAAAAAGAATATATTCAATGGGATGATGTAAAACGATCCATCATTGGAATTGAGTAGAGATAAAAATAAAAAAACGATATTTTTTATTAGTATAGAATAACGATGCTTTTTAAAATAATTGATTAATTATTCAATTACAGGGATAAATTACCTTAATCAAATGCGGATAGATATATAAGATAATCACCATTCATTTAGCATAGATTATCTTACACTATTTATTTAAACGATATTAACTTTAATATACAGGTGTTTGCAAAAAAACTTGCACAATTTTTTTTTTAATCGTAGAATGGTTTTTCTATGGTTCGAAGGAACTATAAGTGTCATTTTTTTAGCGTTGACTCTTCAGTAGTTATACTAGATAACCACCATAAAGAACTCCGGATTTTCTTATTTTTAATATAAATTTATATGATTATACTATTTTCTTCTCCCTCGAAAATCTATCATATATTAATATTATACTGTTGAAACAAAGCCATAAGATCTGGCTGTGTGATTGATTGTAAAACAAGTGTTCTACTAAGGACTATCTATTACAATGATACCAGATTAAAATAAACTGTTGTTGGTCAAAATGTCCAAACAAACAACTGAAATATGTACCTGTAAAAGTAAAAAAAGTTTATGAATGGGACCACATTACAAATAAAGATGTGTTGTCTATTATACATTGAGATTCAGTTTTGATGGACTTTATTAAGTTTATATGCTTGAAAGTTACCTTTTTTTTTTTTGCTGTTAGGTGCGAGCGATGAAAAGAGCTATATCACCGCAGAAAAGCTTTATCATCAAGGACGTTTCTGATGAGAAAAATGTGTGAAAATGTCTCAGTCATGTCATTGAACAATTCTTTAACATTAATACACCATAAATACTCGAGTTCTTATCGGAGATCTTTGATGTTACCTTCATCGGAATCTTCGGTCAGCCATAAACTATAATGTTCAGAAAATAAATTCAAAAACAAAATTGGTGAACTCCATCATTTTTCAGGTGAAGAAGTTAAAAATGTTGAAATTTGTCTTTGTAAATAATTTTGCTGTGTCCAAGAAAAAAAGTTTTTTGTTTTCTATTTCTTCTAAAGGTAACCAAAAGAAATATCAAATTGTGCTGCTTTATAGTACTCTTCGTGGCCTATCAATCACAATATAAAACAATTTTAATAGGACATCTATATAATATAATAGATGTACAAAAAGATGTGGAAGTTTTTTTGCAAACACCTGTATCTTATTATTTTCAACGTTTTTTTTTTCTTTATAAGATTGAATTTATTCTAAATAAAAGTTGAATATTGATTTAAATTAAAACTATTCAATATAGATTGGGGATGAGAGGTTTTAAATAGTGAAAATTTTATTTCTTTTAATTCTTATCCTTTTTATTTATCAAGTCAACTTAAATTATTCGGATATCAAGATTCAATTTCAAACTTATCAATCAATAAATATTGACGATCGATATATTAGAATGAAGTTTTCTCGACGTATATAACCTAAACAATAGAAAATCTCAATGGAAGTTAAGTTGAGAATCATTTAGATAAATGTTAGACGATCTGGTTGAGATTCTAGGTCAATTCTATATTAAATTCAATTAAGATTATTTATTAAATCGACAAAGAATAATGATTAGACTAATTAAATAGTCGATAATAATTGAATGAGATCCTGATTGATCTTGAATAGGTTCAATAAAATCTAAACCTACTAATAATGATTCTAGATCATAATTATCAAACGATTTAGATTCGAATTGTTTAAAAAGTTTTTCTTCTATTTTCATATGGGTATTTAATCTGCATTTAAATAAGAACATATTTATGGGTACTTCCACGCAGGTCCGCCCACTTTTTACAGCACATTCTGCCGGCAAGATTTAACCATGCTAGTTTTGTAGCCCTCGTCGAGTTATGTAGAAAACGGTATTCTGTTTTGACTGAAGTTATGCGCTAACAGCAGCAGAGTAGGTCCAAAAGTCGATTTTATGAGAAAATAGCCCCCAAAATCGGTCTGTTTTATTCTTCATGAGTGTTTCTTGAAATTTCTGATTTCACCATTGGATAGAGCATAAAAACTTGTCTCTGTAGGATAATTTTCAGAGCGATATGTCTAGAAATGATTG